AAGAAAGAAAGAAAGAAAGAAAGAAAGAAAGAAAGAAAGAAAGAAAGAAAGAAAGAAAAGAGAGGAAGGAAGGAAGGAAGGAAGGAAGGAAGGAAGGAAGGAAGGAAGGAAGGAAGGAAGGAAGGAGAGAGAGAGAGAGAGAGAGAGAAAGAAAGAAAAAAGAAAGAAAGAAAGAAAGAAAGAAAGAAAGAAAGAAAGAAAGAAAGAAAGAGAAAAAGAAAAAGAAAGAAAGAAAGAAAGAAAGAAAGAAAAAAAGAAAAAGAAAGAAAGAAAGAAAGAAAGAAAGAAAGAAAGAAAGAAAGAAAAAGAAAAAGAAAGAAAGAAAGAAAGAAAGAAAGAAAGAAAGACAAAATGCTGGAGAATTTAAATCAAATCAGACTTACTTCCACGCTCACCAACCATTGCTTCACAGCCACAAAAGTGTCTTGTGCTGTTACGTCATACATCACAACAACCCCGTCAGCTTTCCGGAAGAATTGCTTCGTGATGCTGCGATACCTGCAAATTAACGGTTTTACAGAACGGGAACACAAAGGAGCCATCAAATCCGGCCGTCTTCCCTGCTCAGTTCAGCCTCAATTCCATTTAGAACATTCAACACCTGGTAGAATTCCATTTAGAACATTCTATAGCTGGTGGTCCACGAGAATATTTTGGTGGTCCGCAGAAAAATTATTTGCAAGACTTGGCCTCGTTCCAGTGGGATGGCATCATGGCCTGGAACTGGATGACCATCTCAGTCCGCTGAGCTTCCAGGCGCCAGTACTTGGCCCACAGGTGGGGACTCTTCTGGCCCAGTTCTTGTGAATCAGTAGTAAACAAATGTTACAGTTCAGCCAAACCGGTAGTAATAAAAACAGCTACCAGTTCGGCCGAACCGGAATTTCCTTTTTTTTTCTTCCCTCCTGATGATCAGCTGTTCTGACAATCAGCTGTGCCAGGATCCCCCTCCCCCGCCACTGTCGTACTGCTTCGCCCAGGAGGCTTCCCTGAGGCCCAGAAGGCAAAAAAGCAAACAAACAGAGCATGGGGGGATTTTTTTTGCTGCTACACAAAAGAAGCCACGCCCACCCAGTCACATGGCCACACCCACCTAGCCACGCCCACATAACCTGTAGTAAAAATATTTGCATCCCACCCCTGACCTGGCCTTGCACTCCCGCAGGCCTTCCCTCTGCTCGGAAAGCCTATGCTCGTAATCCTCAGGGAGGGGCTTCTGCTGAGCCTCCTTCTCGATTAGATCCCATTTGAACTGATCCAGATGTTTTGCAAACTCTTTCTCATGGAGGCTGCTTAGCTCCAACAACTGCTTCCTGTTGGGGCCCCTAAGGAACCCAGACGGGCAGGCGAGGAATGGCTGGGAGGGGAGGGCCGAATAGAGGCTGGGAGGTGCCCCTCTAGGTGAGTGACATTGAGTTGGCCACGCCCACCCAGTCACATGACCACCTAGCCACGCCCACCCAGCTGGTCATTAGGCAGATCATACTGGTGGTCCGCGGGATTTAAAATTATGAATTTAGTGGTCCCTGGGGTCTGAAAGGTTGGTGACCCCTGCTCTAGTCTGTGTTTGAACACACCTGGCACAGAGAAGCCCACCACCTCTTTTGGCTGGTAATTCAAATTGCTTTTACTGTTGAGAAAAGTTTTCTTTTTAAATATTCAGTCAGAATTCCCTTTTGTTTTTTAATCGCTCCTTAACCGCTCTTCAACTGGGAAACGGCAGCTAAAGAAAATAACACCCATAACCAAACTGAATTTCTAAGATTTAAGGTCCACATTTAAGGTGGCGGTCATTAGGCTGAATTGCCAGTAAGAAACAGCTTCTCCATCAGAAATCTTGTTTTCTTGGTATGTCCGTTGAGTTCCTCCAGTCTTCGGCCTTTAACCCTGACTCTTGGCACAGGAGCCGAATTTGAAAAGTTATATGCTGGTACCTAATTCTTGTAAAAAGCTAATGGGCAAAAAACTCTTTCAGGATTCCTAGTTTAAGAAAAGAAAGAAGAAAAACCACAGCTGGTTCAAAAAGCAGAGGGGAACGGGAATGGCCTTGACAGACAGGAGGAAGAACTGCTGCCGAGGCAATAGCCCTCTTACAGGAGACTGAGTCAGAGGTGGTATTCAGCAGGTTCTGACCAGTTCTGGAAAACCAGTAGCGGAAATCTTGAGCAGTTCGGAGAAGCGGAAAATACCGCCTCTGTCTGGCCCTGCCCCCATCTCTTCTCTGCCTCCCATTGAGTCCCAGCTGATCGGCTGCGTCGTCTTTGGTTGCCCTGCACAGGAGAACGGAGCTGCAAAGCAGGTTAGTGGGGTGGAGATGGAGATTTTGCAGTAACCTTCCCCCAGGAGTGGGGTGGAAAGGGGGATTTTACAGTATCCTTCCCCTGCCATGCTCACCAAGCCACACCCACCAAGCCACGCCATGCCTACCAAGCCACAGAACCGGTAGTAAAAAAATTTGAATCCCACCACTGGCCTGAGTGCACACCACAAAATTAACTTGAGAAAATGTTTCAGACCAGTCCCTTCCTAGATTACATGAAAATAAAGGGAGCACATACAGCCTTGCAAGAGTTTGTCATTGTAGAAACTAAAAGTAAAGGTTTCCCCTCTCCAGGAGTGTCCGACTTATCTCTGTTTCCTAGCCTAGAGAGTCCAAAAAGACTTGTGCGGTCACGTGGTCAGAATGATTATACACCAAGGGGCACAGAATGCTGTTACCTTCCCACCGAAGTGGTACCCATTTATCTACTCACATATGCATGCTTTCGAATTGCTAGGCAGATAGGAGCCAAGGCAAGTAACGGACGCTCATCCGTCACATGGTGCTTGGGTCTCGAACCTGAGCTCCCAGCTTTCCAGCGGACAAGCTCAGCATCTTTAACCACTGAACCATTGCACCCCACTCTCTGTCATTGTAGCTGTTTGTTGTAGTCCTAAATTGATAAGTGTGTATGAGGACTAGCACCTCTGGTTGAGGGCCCTGCCTGCCGTGCCCATTTTAGGGCCGTTGATTCACCGTTGGTTCTCACCCGGTGCTCAGCCCTCACCTGTGCCTCCAAGTAGTTGTAACATGTTCATCAGCCACACCCCAGTAAACCGTCTCAGCAGACAGGTCAAAACAGGTGAGGGAAGCCGGTGGATCTTTGATGATTTGCCATTCACAGAGCAGTGGTTTCTTACTCTGATCTACCTAGAGGACGGACACACCTTCCACAGGAATTGGGCTGAACTACACATTGCGGGCATTTCCAACCAAGATCTCAGCCAGCGGATAAGAAGGTCTTGGATTACCTTTCTTGCCCAGCAGTGTCCCAGAGTTGCAGCACCACCTGGCTGCCATCCAAGTTCACGGTTTTCATAGAATAATCCACACCTGCAGAAGACAAATAGCTCAAATTGTATCAATCAATCAGAAGAGAGCTGGAAAGAACCTCGGCAGTCTTCTGATCCAGGGTTCGCCAACCTTTTGGACCTCAGGGACCACCAAACTCATAATTTTAAATCCCGCGGATCAGAGACCCTGGGAAAATCCCAAAAAAGTCTGCAGGAAAATTCCCCACCCCATTTTCCTACCAATCGATCATTCTTTATTTGGGATCACAGGATACTGTCTCCAGTTCTGTTCTCGGGGGGGGGGGGGGAGGGAGACTTTTGGCTTCATGCAAGGAAAGCAGCAGAAGCGGCAGAAGTCTTTCTTTCTCTCCCCCAAACTCTGCCAGAAATGAGTCTTTGTGAGACTTGTCACGCCAGCACAGCCTCTTGGAGCAGGAGGCCTTGCAGGGTCCCAAAGACTCATTTCTGGCAGAGTTTGGCGGAGAGAAAGAAAGAATTTTGCTGCTTTCCTTGCGTGCAGCCAAAAGCAGAAGAAGAAAGAAGCGGAAAGAAGGCGAGGCACATGGGGTGAGTGGGGCAAGTTCCCCCCTCCGCCCTTTCCCCCTCCCCTCACTACCTCATGTTTGCAATGCAAATGACACAAGCCTTGTGTTCCCGTGGGCCATGTGGTTGGCGACCACTGATCTTGCCCAACCCCCTGCTGAAGCAGCAGACCCTGTACAGCTTCAAACAAATGGCTGTCCAATCTCGTCTTAAAAGCCTCCAGTGATGGAGCACCCAGAATTTCTGAAAACAAGCCATTCCACTGATTAATTCTCACTGTTAGGAAATTTCTCCTTAGTTCTAAGTTGCTTCTCTCCTTGATTAGTTTCCATCCATTGTTTCTTGTCCTGTCCTCAGGTGCTCTGGAGAATAGCTTGACCCACCCTCCTCTTTGTGGCAGCCACTTAAATACTGAATATTGCTATCATGTTCCCGCTAGTCCTTCTTTTCTCTAGACTGGCCATACCCAAATCCTGCAATCGTTCTTTGTATGTTTTAGTCTCCAGGCCTTTAATCATCTTAGTTTCTCTTCTTTGCACTGAAACTCAATTGACTATGTCCACCTCAGACCCCTCTGTGTTGAGACATACCTGGTTCAGATCATGAATTGCTGGGGCCTAGAACAGAGTTAAATTTTGCAACGTCAAAGAGGCAGCACCGCCACAGAAGTTTGACCTTACCAAAATCAACACCCATCAAAATCCCTTTCCATGCAATTGAGGTGGAAAAAAAAATAGGTTTAAACTGCTAGATATGGCTCAGAAGATGCCTAATGCACTGTGGCCAGAAATTTGATCGGCCATCACAGAAACTGTGGTTGAACACCTCCCATGCAAGAAACCAGAGGGGAAAAAAGCACAAATAGCTTTCAGATGAAACCACCAAAATAGCTGAGAAGAAACAGAAAAACAGCCAGTGCAGAAGGCAAAATGGAAGGAAGGAGATTGAATGCAGATGTCTAAAGAGCAGTTTCTTTGCTTTCCAAAGAGAACTTTCTTTGTCTTCCAACGAAAGACAATAAGTTTTGCTAGCACCAGCATTTCAAGCAGTTAGAAGAGACTTGCAGGAAGGGACTCATCAGGAATACATTTGTGCAAATCAAAAGGATTCCAGCACAATAGAATAGAATAGAATAGAATAGAATAGAATAGAATAGAATAGAATAGAATAGAATAGAATAG